ATCGGATTGATAATATAACCATAAGGGGAAAAGAATGAAGCTTTGAAAGCCAGGATTTTGGCTGCCTAAGGAGAGAAAAACTGCACAGAAAACCTTTAACCTAACTGGGTAGCTTTCTTGTTTGTTAGGGGAATTGGTATTATAATTCCGAAACTATGCATGGCAGGACGTAGCAAATGAGAAAATACGTGGACGGATGTTGGGAACCAGGGTTCTCACTGTGGGAGAAGGGAGATATACGTACAGAATGAGAGCAAGCACAGAAGGATCCTGGGGTGCTGGATTTGAGTCAGTATGAGCTCATGATTGAAAACAAATTATATTCTTCAGCTTTACCTACTCAAAGAGCCTCAAGGCCATAACATCCCATTGAGCACACCTAAGATACATATCTTCGTGCTAAAATACCACAACCCACTGAACACCACCAGAAATCCTTAGATAAGTGGTTGACCCAGGTCTGGGGCAGAGACATTCCAAAGACAGTCTAGAATGTTTTGTTGTGCCAGAAGCAAGGAAGACTGATGAGAACATGTCAGAAAGGACCTAGCAGCCAACGGGAAGGGGCTCCCGCTAGCCATATTTGAGACCATTTGAGCATCAAAAAGAATAATAATAGTAATGGATTTTAACACATTGAGTCAAAAAAAAAAAAGATCTACTAGTCAACAGGGATACTAAAAATGAAGAGGGGGATGAGGGGAGAAAAGCTCTTTTATAAAGAATGCTAATTAATACATGTAGAGGGAATGCTAGATTTAAAAATCACTGTTTTGTAAATACTAATGTAATAATTGATTCAGGTGAAGGTTATCAAGGAGTGCTAAAACCATTGGGTGAGAAGTTCTTGGGGACTACGGTACTCACAGGACCCCAAAGTATCACTGCACAGATTAGCTGATTTCCAAAGGGAAAAGGTACCACACTTAGAGTGGAGGGTCTGAGTGGTCCCCATCTTATCTAAGTGACCAAATGCAGCACCACAGGAGAGAGGCTCCCTCACATTATGTACCACTTGACACGGTACACTGAGAAATATACATCACCAATCCGTAGTATTTTTGCCAAAAATGTCTCATATTCTGGTTTTGACACATAAAATCAAGCTTAATGTTATTGGAAATGTGAATGCGGATTGTCTACTTGATTATTTTTAAATGAATACTAATTACTTAGATGTTCTGCACTATTGTGGCTATGTTGGAGAATGTCCTTATCCTTAGGTCATGTATGCTAAAGAGTTTAGAGGTCAGGTGTCATGATTTCTGCAATTTTCTTTCAAATAGCTTGACATATGATGTTTTTTATACATGATATTTCCATATCATATACATTACACATGTCATACACACATATGAAAAAGAAAATGTAACAAAGTGTTAACAAATGTTGAATCTAAGTGAAGGGTTTATAGGTCTACTTTGTACTATTCTTTCAATTTTTCTATAGATTTGAAATATTTCAGAATAAAATCTTGGGAACGAGTCATTGAGTATAACATGCCTATGAGAGTAGGCAGTCAATAAATAGGAGCCGAAATGAGACCATCATCAATATTGTTTTCATCTCTCAAGGCCTCCTCTATTCCATTTCACAATCTTGGCTGTGGTCTGGATAAAGGCAGAGAGATAACTGCTAAATAAGTGAGCCGTGGTTTTGTCTGAGACATTTGTGAAAAATAAAGAACCCATTTAGTCTCCTATCAACAGCTGCTTCCCAGATGAAGCAACGGGGCTCAGCGGCCATGAGCCTCTCTCCCCAGCCGTGGATTACTTTGCAGGCCCTCAAAGGCTGGGGTGCTGAAATGACAAATTCTACAAATTCCCCAGAAGACAATTTTGTTGCACGGATGACAGCAGCGTGAGTCCAGCCAGCCCCATCGAGAGCTGTTCTTTGGCTCCCTGAGGGGGGTTCAGTTAATCGACTGGAGCCATGCTCTAGCCTGTCCTTGAGGTAAACGAGTTCCCAGCAAACAGAAACGGTGCTTCTCCCCTCTTTACGAGGAGCTCAGTCCTGGCATACAGGGGGCCTGTGCTCTTCTGAGACCGCCCTTCAGCCCAGTGGTCCCCGAGGTGGGGCCTCCGGACAGCTACAAGACTGAGACGGGCGTCTTGTACGTTGGTGTTTTTAATGGGATAATGTCCACACATCTTGGTAGAGCAGGTATTGATGTTTTATTAATGATGTTTAATTAAAATTTAACGTCAAAGCATTGCTGCTCTCATGTTGTTCTGGTAAAGGTTTTGTGATTTTTTTTCCTCGTGACAAGAAGGAGAAAGGGAGAGGTTGAGGCATGCCTTAAAGACGGGACTTGGGATTTGCTGTGACCCATGTAGGTGATGCTCAGAAAGCACCCCAAGGTGGGCGAGCATCCTGGAAAAAACGCCCTGAGCTGCTCCTGGGCCAAACCCTATTGTTCATCTTCTGAGTTCTGAATTTTTATGCTGCTTTTCAACAGTGGCTCCTCCCTGTCCAACAACCACTTGTCACTAAACCACCCTTCTCGCCCTGACCCTGCTTCTCAGATCAGGTATCAGCCACATCGCCACTGCTTGAGAGTCTATGCCATATTTTCTACAACCATTTGGAGTGGATGTCTAGAGCTCTCGAGGGTTTTCCTAGGGCAAGTGAGTGGTTTCTGGGTTGCTTGTGCTAAAGGAGCCTTTGTCAAGAAATATTTTTTTTCTGGATTTATGTAGTAGCTACATTTATTGCAAACTTACAATCTGCTGGACATTATTCCAATTTCTTTATACCATCCCTTTTACTGAGCACAGCAACCTATAAAATGTATCCATTTTCTAGATACGGAAACCAAGGCACTGAGAGGTTAAGCAACTTGTCTCAGGTGTATTTGGCTCCAGAGTCTGCCTTCTCAAACAGTGCCTTACTCCGCCTGCTAGAGGGAGAGGCTGTACATTTTTGAAACAATGGAGCCAGATCTAGGGAAAAGTCCGGCAGCTTTAACAGAAGCCAAATCCAAGGCCACAGATGCAGAATGAAGCCAAGATGGGATGCCCAACCCTCTCTGCTGGAGGTTGGATGGGAATGGGTTCACAGGAAGCAGAGAGCTCAGATTGCCTGGAGATGTTGATCCAGGGTGAGAGCTGTACCCACAGAGGCCTGACGTTCATCACAAGGCAGGAAGGCAGAGGGAGCCAAGGTGACAGACCCTGGGTCCCCACTGCCATTGCTACCTAGGAAGCACAGTCTGCAGGGGCTGCAAAGAAAGTGGCTGCGGGGCTGAGTTTAAAGGGGGTCGGGAAGGGTTTGCCATGAAGCTATGTTCTTTGTGTAAAACTTCCAGTTCTAGCCTGGGTCTTGAGGGGAGATGAGAATCGGGGGACAAGGTGAGAAGAGGCTGGTGCTCTTTCCTCTATCTCATCATGGGACTTTGCCGCTGAGGATGTGGGTCTGGATCCCACCAGAGGCCATCACTCAGGGTCCTTGGACTGACTTGTATGAAACAAGAGTATAGACAGGATGGCCATGGTAGAGGCTCTGCTTTGAGGTTCTAAGGCTAATCTGAGTCAAGCGGGGACATTTGCTTCATGTAGCTGACGATGACAGTGCTCTGCCCAGATCCCTTCTGATGTCTTTATACCATTTTGTGCCCCTTAACCTTTTGCCTACCTGTGCAGAGAGCCAAAAGTTCCTGAGAATTTACTTGTCCGTCCTCCCTCCCCATCCCAGCACTACCCATTGGCTGACCGCTCACTTCTGTGATTTGGAACAATTACGATGCATAACCTGCCCTGTAGAGTTCTCCTGCAGGCCCAGGTCGCCGTCCCCCTTTGCTGGACTTGGCCTGAAGTTGCACCTTGGCTCCCTCCCCGCCCCCCATTCTGCTTCCCCCACTCCCTTCCCAGTCTCCCCTGGGAAAACCTCCTTAATCGATCACTGGCACACAAATCTTCACCTGAGAGTCTCATCCCAGGGAACTAACTAAAGACACCCCACGGGGCCAGAGGCAGCCCGGCTGGAGAGAAAACTGAAAAAAGGCCACAGAGAAGTGTTTCCTAGAGAAGTCCTAGAACTGGCAAGTTCTGCCTCCCATAAATAAGATAACTGGTGTGGTGGAGTTACATGAAAAACATAGTGGAGCCTGAGAAGGAACACCCGAGGCAGTCAGGGAAAGCTTCCTGGAGGAAGTAGCATGTGAGCAAAGATCTGAAAGATTAATAGAACTTGTCTCACAAACATGGAGGGAAAGGCCATTCCAAGCATGAGCAGGGACAGAGGAGTGGGAAAGGTGATGTGTTCTAGGAATGCAACACAGAGGAAGTACACGTGGCTCTATGTTCCTGGAGTCTCAAGTTAAGAACCATGTTGGAAGACAAACTGCAGGAAGCAGACTAATCAGAGCCTTGTGGGGGTGGAGGTGAGGAGTGGTGGGGTGGGAGAAATGGAGGCACCCAGGCCGACTTTATCTTGAGTTACTAGATGCAGGTCATTGAGATGAGGAACACAGGGAGAGAAGTCAGTACAGGAGAGGAGATTCATTCACTTTTGGATACGTTAAATTTGAGACGTCTGTGGGGCATCCAGGTGGGTATTTGGTTCTGGGCACATTTGATGTGCATGCTAAGCTCTTTATATGTATTTTCTGATTTTAATTCTTACAGAGTCCACAGTTGTCTGGCTCCCAAACTCAACATACTTAAACTATACGATATACCCCTTCTCTTTCAGGAGGCATCAATGTGGTTAAATGTCGGCATAGAAGGTGGTATAAAGTGAGAAGGAGGATGGGGCTGTACTAAGGACAAACTTGAGTGCATATCTGTTTCAGAGCTGCCGTTGTCTATGGGAACAGCGCCCCCCGGAGTTGTGCGATGCACAGCCTGCGTGGTCCTTTATTGAAGACTTTGGAAAGGCGGCAGATACGGAGGGGAGTAATAAAGATGCAGGAAAAATAAAAACCTCATAATTGACAGGCGTGGCTCTGTAAGCATGTCCAACATTCCCCATTCCCAGGTAAGCACGCATCCCTCACTCACCATCCTCCTCCGTCTGCACCACCAGCTCCTCGCTCTCCATCCGGCCCTCGGGGTTGGACAGCAGGAGCCTCAGCCGGATGGTCATGAAGGGGCGCAGGCCACGCAGGGTGTAGTGGGAGGAGGTCTGGATGACCTCCTCGGCCTCGTACTGCTGCTGGTTGAACACGTACTGGTACTGTACCGTGAGGTTGTACCTGTGGCAGCGGGTCACCGCGTAGCCGAAGGGTTCCCACTGCAGGGTCAGCTGCCGGGCTCGGATGTCCACGATCTCCACATTCTGCGGGCCGTGCACCGGGTCTGCAAGACACACGTGCAAGACACAAGGGCTCTCAGGAGACCGTCATCAAGGTGGGGTGGGTGTTTTGCTAAAACAGAGAACAGCTCTTCAAATTTATCTCCACCACTCAGCCACTGCCTTCACGATTTTTGCCACATAGAGTATAATTTAATTAACATTTTTCTGTAAATTACACTCCTTTTTCTTATTTAAATACATGCATTTAAAAGAAAACAAAACTATGTAAAGGGAAAACCAGAATCACTTGCTATAAATAAATGCTAAACATAAAAATAAATGCAAAATTGTTAAATTTTTTTTAATGGGTCAAAAACTGTGTGGCGTAGTAGCTAACTATTTTTTTTAATTGAGGTCATATTGGCTTATGACATTGTGTAAATTTCGGGTGTACATTATTATATGTCAGTTTTGGTATAGACTGCATCGTGTTCACCACCAATACTCTAATTTTTAGCCGTCACCATACACATGTGCGCCGTTATCCCTTTCGCCCTCCCTCTACCCCCTCCTCCTCTGGCAACCACTGATCTGTTCTCCTTAGCTATGTGTTTGTTTATCTTCCACATAGGAGTGGAATGATATGGTATTTCTTTTTCTCTGTCTGACTTATTTCACTTAGCATAATACCCTCAAGGTTCATCCATGTTGCAAATGGCACAATTCAGGGTTATATAATTTCCCAAGTTATATAATTTCTTTGGGCCCATTTTTTATTTCATTTATAAAATGGTGACAATAATAGTAGCTAACTTCATTGGGAGGGGAGGGGGGAGTTAAATGAGATGTGGTTTGAAAGCAGTTAGAACTGCACCTGGAACTTAAGCGTTAGATATATGGTAGTTTTTCTTTTGCAGTAACAGGAATAGTACTACAAATAATAATAAGGCTTCATATGCTGTATCTACCCTGAATGTCATAAGTGGCAGTGCTGGGTAGCATCCTCATGCAAAACGACGGATTCTATCGTCTCTCCTGTCCCTTGAAAGCGCTTAGGGGTAAGGCTGCCTCTGCACCAATGCGGTAATAAGAAGAGGGGTGGGTCTTGATGCCAGCTGAGTTTCTTGATCTGTCCTTGCTGGGAAAATGTTCTGTGACTTGTGTCAGAGCCTTACCAAGGAACACACTTCAAAGTGGTCCTCCTTTGAGAAGGATGCTCAGAAATGTCAGGGAGCCTGGCAAACCAGCCCAGACCTGCTCATGCACTGCTAGGGAGAGCGGGCAGCCTGGCCCTGGCTCAACTGAGAAGTTCACGGTCACCCTTACAGCCCAAACATTCATGCTCACAGGTCCTTTGTGTAAAGGAGAGCTAGCATCCCAAAAGCAAATGAGTGACTTTGAAATCGTGACACTGAACAAGCTGTTGCTGAGGACCCATTGCGCTAAGCCCCGTGGAGTGGAAGGTGAAAAGCACAGTCCCTGGTTCCCACAGTTGGGGAGGTTATGATCTGGTGTGGCCACCACTGCTGCTTGGTTTAACAACTCACGATGGCATGAGGACAAGTGTGTAAGCACAGGGACAGCGAGAAGCTGCTTGCCTGGGAAGTCTCAGCATTCCCACCAGCCTTGCCCAGCTGGAGCCTTTCTGCAAGTCCAGATGCCAGACCTTTCCCGGCTGGGAGGCCACCCACCTTGCTCAGGATCCCATCTACATTCCTGCTCTGGGTGTACCTTCAAAACTGACGCCAAGCCCCAAGAAGATAACCATCTGTACTCATTAGAGACTGAAAACAGGAACACTTAAGACCCTTTAAGGCCACAGCTCAAACCCCATTTTGTCAAACATCTTAAGATGTGCCACAGCCCATGTTAAATATAATTTTGGGATCTCCAGTATGCCCTTAAAGTACAAACAAAACAATAATAACAAAACATCATTGATGGCCAGCAGCCACAGCGCTGGGTTCTGTCACCTGCATTACCTTGCCAACCTGTAAGGGAGGGCGTGCCAACCCACTTTACAGATGAATAAACTGAGGTCCAGGAACTTGTATACAGTAGCAAGATTGGCAAGTGGGGTTTTGAACTTGTGTCTGTCTGACTCCGCGCCTAGCGTGCGAAGTCAGAAGATGTGCCTGGCCAGAGGGAAAGAGAGTTGTGTATGTACCTCCAGGGAAGGGGACACAGTCTCTCCCACGGCTCTCCTTCGCCCTGCCTTTCCCCTCCCTCTGGTGTTTGGCAATCCCTTCTCCTGCCTTCAATCCCCGTTCACTTTGCCTCCTCTGTGAAGACTTCCTTGCTGAGCCTCTGGGGAGAGGTTATGGCTATTTCTTTCTCCTTTTGTTAACTGTTTCCTCATATATTAATCATTTTCCATTGTGACAGCTTTTTAAATTGTCCCTGCCCACTAGAATGTGAGCTCTTTGAGAGCAGGGGTGCTCTCTGCTCATCCCTCCAGCCCATGTCCAGCCCAGGGACCTCAGAGGAGGACCTTGGTAAGCAACAGCTGAAAGGATGCTCTGTTTTGTAAATCTCACCACAAACTGCGGGGAAAGCATCACTAGCCTCATCCTAGAGGAAACCAAAGTTCTGTGAGGTGAAAGGATTGGTCCAAAGGCACATGGTGAGTGGCACAGCTGAGATCTGAAGGCCACGAGGGTCCAGTGCCTCTGTGTTTTCTCTGCACTGTGACACCATGAGGGACTGAGACCAGGGAAAGGACATAAATATGAGGCATGTCACAGTCACCAGGAATCTGGAGAGACCTGGAGAGAATGTGAGAAAGCCTAGAACTGTGAGACAGAAATGGCTTGACCCTCAGGAGCCTGCGGTCCCCTGGAGATGGCGATTTGGGGACTTAATCATTTAGTGCTAAGGTGACCACTGGCCGGTCTTCCCATCCCTGGTCTCCAGCTACTACAGAATTCTCTCCACAGCTCACCTGTGGAAGTGTACACGGAAATATTTTCTGCTCCTCTTGAAGGAAGGGGCAGGCAGGGGTGCCTTTTCACAGAGGGCAAGGGATGTTGCAAGCCTGCCACAGAGCAAAGAGATTCCCTCCCAGAGAGGGGAGTTCAGGACACGGGAAAAGTCATTTGCTCCCTCTGAAACACATGTGACTGACTCATCAGACAGGCCACAAGCAACAGTGGAACCGGGCAGAGCACAGCTTGAATCCAGAGTCTGGTGCTCACTAGCTATGTGACCTTGAGCAAGGGCACTTCATCTCTGAGCCTCCATTTCCTCGTCTGTAAAGTGGAAATTATGGCGCTAATCTCCGAGGGCTGCTAATGAGTATAAAATTAACTGTAAGGAGACAGAGGTAATTGTCTCTGCCTAACAGTGGGCATTCCTCTCAGAGAGAATGGCCTTTCTTGGAGAAATGCCTTAAGAAGCTTGTTTGGAGTGGAAGCTGCATTCCCAGGGCCTTGGGATCAGCTGTGCTCAGCCTTCAGAGGAAGAGAAAAGTGAATTCACTGGATGCTGGGATTGAATAGGAGAGGATGGGGGTGAGCAAGATGGCAGAATGTTGGGTGGAGTTCAATGTGACTGTCTTCATGTGACGTCTAGATCTTCAACAAGGTCCTCAAAATACCACAAAATGGTTTGCTATGATTGGATTTCCTGTGGATTCTAGAAAGGGCTGGGATCTGCATGCCTCGTTCGGGCCAAATAAGATGCCACATGGGAACACAGGGACCAGACACAAAGGGAACTCAGAAAATATGTCCATACGTGTTACCAACACTTTGATAGATAATTTTGGGGTTTCCCCAGGCTATGGAAATTAAGAGGTTTAAGAAATCTCAGTTCATGTGCAAAAGGCTAGAAGACCTCTGGTGGACCTGTGGGTTGGATATGTGTAGGTGAAAGTCTTTTGTAAGTTCAAGAAAGGGAAAGACAGTGGCTATTTACTAAGCAGTAACTCTGGGCTAAACACTTACATGCTGAAAGCAGCTCTCTGGCTTAGGGAATTGAGGCCAATGAAGGGACGTGACCTACCCAGGGCCACACAGACAAGTCTCCAGCTCTGGGCTCCCACATCACTTTGCACAGCTGCCCAGCCCACTCAGCATTTGTCACACTTTCTAGGAACTGCTTGTTCATTTATCCATCACTCCTCCCAGGCTGCAACGGACCATGTTCTATTTGTCCAGCAACCCTAGCACATGGCACAGGGTCTGTCGAGGGGCCAGTTCATATTTGTTAAACTGAGATGAACAGATGGTGACCTGTTCATGGGAACTGAGCTCAGATCCCCTGAGTCCACAGTCCCTGTTCCGTCCCCTCCAGCAGGTCACCGAGTCTTTAGGGTGAACATATCTATTTTTGGATTCAAGCAAGAGAATGTCCTGAAAACCAACACAATGGAAACTAGTTTTCAAAATGTGTGATGGAAGCATCCATGCTTTCGATCTGACCCCCAACCCCCAAACCTCAGCTGCCACACCCAGCTTCTGCTCTGGTAATTGCCTGCAGCAGGGAGAATCTCAGGTTTACATTCGGGGTGGTGCAAACAAGTTGGAAATTGCTGAGAAAGACTTGTGTGTGCAGTGGGGATTGGTTTGTTGAATTTACATCCCCCGTATAAATATGTCCACGCCTGGAGCCTATGGTTTCTGCCTCCAGATAAGGCCCCATCCACATGACCTTTTGAGTAACAGCCTACAGGCCAATGAGATGAGAAACAGTAGGAAGAGAGTGTGGCTTGTCTGGGAAGCTGGAAAATCTTCCTCTAATGGAAAGTCAAAGTGACTCGGCCTCTGCGTGTACTTTCTCTATGCCCTCAGACTCGGCCACAGGGGCCCTGTCCTGAGCCCTGTGCATTAAGAAGCAAATTCTGGCCCTCTTCAGACTGTGTCCTCCTCCTGGAGCAGGAGTCAGTGAGCCAATGTGTCCACCTGGCCCCTGTGCTCCCCCTTCTGGACCCGGTTCCGGCTACCTGACACCCCAGAATTCCCTGCCCCAGTGGGAACTCACTTCTAGGACTTGTGAGAACCACTTCCCTTGGTCTGTCCTTCCAAGATCAGACCATACTCCGTATGTGCACCCCTAGGCCCAA